GCTGAAGCTCTGGTTCCATCCTGATGCGGCAGAATAATCCGCTTGTCTTGGGGTTGTCATCTTCAAACTGATAACCAGGAAGCTGCAGCTACAGCTCTCTGCGAAACAGAAACTCGCTTCAGCGCTGGAAATGGAGTTGGAGAGGCGAGAGAGTGAAACCAGGGAAGAGAAGCGTTTTCTCCAGGTTGATGGTTCAGCGTACGCTCGGTTTGCTTACTGTCACCGTAGTGTTTAGATTACAAATTCTACCCCAGAATCACTTGCTTGGAAATTTCTGCAGGCAGCGCATGGGCTCATGAGCTTAGAAGTCTCTCTTTACATTATTTTCTCCTTCGAGAACAACTTCTTGTCCAATACATGTTAAGACAGCGAATCTTTTAATACAAAATAGTCTAATTATTCTGTTTTATCCACTGAGATTAAAAAGCGAAAGGATGTGAGCTGTTTGGGAAGCCGCTGACTTGCAATTGTCAGCTAAAATTGAGCGTGTAGAAATCTTGAGCATTTGGTATGAATTTGTTGCACAGGAGTAGAATGAAGACCGCTTCTCACGGCAGCCAGTGTGCACGGAGCTGTGTGTGTGTTGTGCCTTACGGGGAATTCAGCTCATAAAAAGGATACAGCATTTATTATGTGTTTCTATCTAACGTCTCTCTGCCCTGCTGGATTCTGCCTGCGCTGGCTCCTGCCTCTCCGCACATCACCGCGACGTTGGAGCCCTAATGCCAAGTACGGTGATGTCAGGGCCTTCCTCGCAGAGTCCGTGGGGTGGGAAGGGCGCGTTGCGGAGGTGGAAAGGTCGTTTTCCTGCTGGCTTTTGAAAGGTGGCACATGTTTTGGGGTACTGTGCTGAAACACGGGCAGTCCCAAAGTGTTCGGTGACTGAACTTGGCTCAAAGTGGAATGACGAGCAGTAAACAAAAAAAAGGAAAAAACTATCTGAATCTTGGTTTTTACATCTTCCCATAGTAATTTCTCCCCTTCTCTCCCTTGTCCTTTTTCCAAGAAGAAGTTAATGGTATGTAGCGACAAAACGGAAAGGTGATGGGTTGTTTTTGTTGACGAAACGTGTCTTATTGTCGCTGGCTGAGCCCGATTTCCCCGGCCAGCTCTGTCATTGCAGAGGGCCGTTAGGGAGCGGAGGCTCGATCCGTTCGGAGCCTGGGGAGCAGAGATTATTCCTCTTAAAATCTTGATTCATGTGCTGCCTTGCAGCATGACCTTCAGTAAGATTTGCTGTGTCTCGGTTTCTCCAGTGGACAATTATTTCTGTCCTATACTTTACAGTCTGCAGCTACGCTGAAGACCTCGTTGGGGCTGAGGTTTCAGCGTGTGCGACTCTGCGCTGCTGAGCTGGTAGGGTGGAAGCTATCGGAGATAATACTTAATGATCATTGTAAGGCTTGTGTAAAGAGCACGCTGATTCTTTTCCATCTGCCGTCATAGTTAGCAGTATTATATCTCTTCATATAAAATGTGCCGGGGTGTTTTTTTGTCTCTGCTTCAAGCTCTACCAACAGTTTGGAAAGCAGCCTGGTGGGAGTCTTCAGAGTGGGACTTTTGGCCTCATCTGTGAACTGATATTTTCCCTGACTCAGAAGGATTTTTTTCTGTTTAGTAATACACATTACAAAATAAGCATCTGTCTTGCGAGTAATTTCTGGTGGAACAAAATAAGCATCTGTCTCACAAGGAGTTTCTTTTCTGGTGGAGCTAGTTGTTAAAACCCTGACTTTGCTATATAAAAACCTTGTGTCTGCTTAATCTCGTGGAGTGACTAATCTTCTAGTGTTCTTTCTCTTATCAGAATGGTAGTAACAAGAAGGCTAAAAAATGGGAGGAATGGAGAAAGGGTGAAGAACCGTTGTGGTGCTTTTGGTGGTCGTAGCTCTTGTGCCCACCGGCACTGCACGCTGAGGGGCTGTGTGTCCACGGGAGCGCGGGGCTGGGGCGCAGAAAGGAAAGAAAAGCGGCGTTCACTTCCACAGAGAGCTCGTTTTGGGCACCAGTGACTTGGCGAGCAGCATCTGGCATTTGAGGTGTCCTTGCACTGTGCTGGGAGCGGCGGGGGGGGGCCCATGTCCCCGTGTCCCAAGTCACGCACACCTGGGCGTTGTTGCTGTCAGTGAGTCACGCTGCTGGCAAGAGGGAGAGAACCACGCACTGATTTTATTTTATTTTTAAACCAAGGAGCGATTTAGTTACTTTCCCTGGTGCTTACGTTGTAGAGGGCTTGGTGCTTGTTGGCTTTGAGCGTTTCATCCTGGAAAAATAACAACGTATGGTGAAATATTCTGCTGTCATAGGCACAAAGCGGGAGGTGAGGGAGCTTCGTAACAAGAAGCTTTCACGTATTAGAGACCCACCCAAATTTACGTCGTGATGGTGGTGATTTAAAGCTGGCTTCACCATCTCCAGCAGCGTGCGAGGGGGCTTTCAGGAGATGTCTCCTCTCCAGCTGCTGCTGAGTCAGCAGGCAGCAGTTGGGTGCGCAGCGCGTGGGCAGCCTGTGCCCCCGGCTCCGTGGGGACAGCCTGAGGGACAGTGCCTCTCCGGAGCCGTCTGTGGGGAGCCCTGGAAGAACAGGACTTCCCAGGATGAGTCGGGGTGGGAATGGTGGAAATCGGGAGCTGCGGAACAAGAGAGCCTGCGGGAATTCCAGGCATCCCGCTGGGTTCTGAACAGCCTAGGAACTCCCTGGCAAGGGCTTGGACACATCATCTTTGGTACGAGAACAGGACGAGATGGAGAAGGTGAGGGCTCTTTTCTCCTCTTGTTAATTTTGGAATAGAGGCTGGAATAAAAGGGTTTCGTGTTTTGTGTTCAGCGGGGGAAGGCCGGGTCCAGCGGCTCTGTTTGCTGCAGTATGTGAAGATCTCGCCCGAGGCGGGCGCTGCGTCCCTGCGCACCGTCGGGACCTTTCCTCTGAAGGCCATTACGGCAATCGTGCCGAGGTCCCGCACTAACAGCGTGCGTCCCATCCCGGGGAACAGGTCTCCTGCTGATCCTGCCATTGCCTCTCAAACCCACTAAATACCACGAACCCACACTGAGAATTGCCTTTCTCTTTTTGAATTTCAGGCTGCAGAGAGAAGGTGCCACCATGTGAATGCGAAGCAGCCAGATGAGAAACAGGACGCCTGGGAAGGCCGAGCCGAAAGTGCTTGCGCGCAGGGTGACAGACTGATCCGCTGTCAGAGACGAGATTCCGGAGACCCCGACCCTCCCCAAGACTTTCCTGAGG